GATAATGCTCTCCACAAGAATGTTTTTCCCGTTCCACCGTATCCATAAACAAAAAAAAGTCCTCCAAGATTATTCTCAGCATCTTGCAATACGTTGTCATATATTGTTCTTTGCTCTTCAGTTAGTTTCTCCACCAAAGTATCATTCTCTTCCTTCATTACATTAACATCATATGCCAATTCCTCTTGTACCAGCCGATTAGTTGTTCTAGAATGATTAACTAAATCGGGTATGGGCATCCCTTGAAAGTCTTTCAGACTTTTTCCCATAGCTGAAAGCATTATTTCTATCTCCGTAAGTGCAAAATTCTTCTTTTCATCTTCTGATATAATCCAATCTGTGATAACATTATTAACAACTATTATAATTTTTTTGGTCAAATTGTATCGTAACAGTAAAAATGAATAAATACAATACCTGGAATTCCCAATTCTTGTCTAATCTTGAATTGTGCATCGTCGGACAAATGAATCCACGCAGCTTCCCACACCACCTCTGGTTTTGCTATTGAGTTAGTCATCAAGAGAGTGACAAACAATCTTCTCAAATTCACAGGTGTTGCCCAGTGACTTGCTTCTTCTATAGCATGAACATATTCCATGTCGTCATCTACTAATCCTCTAGCACAACACGCATCCCTAAAAGATTCATATTGGACGCCATCAACTTTTTGTATGTCTAAATAACTTGTGGGACCTTTGACTTTATTCAAAAGACACCTCAAATAAAATATCTCCCCTGACCCAGGAGGCACATAGAATACTCTACCGATTGAAAATCCTCTTTTCCTTGGCTGCCATTTTCTAATATCTTTCTTCCATACAAATTTCGTTGGCATTTCAGCATATGTCAAATTCCTTGCTTCAGGGTAGGTTTTATTTGCCTCAAACCATTCCAGGAACATGCTTTGTAAGATTGTTGGCCGGCTGAGAATGTTGTCAGCGGGATCATCATCTGCGAAAACAACACTTTGTTGATTCGGCAAGTGAAAGCTCAATCGTTCCACTGATGGTGTCCTAAACTGTATATCAAAACCGAACAACCGCCACGATGCTTCACACGGCGATATGTACCTACAATCATAGTACATACTGATTTCATCAATAACCTGCGGTCCATCTTGATCATTGCTGGTCCTGTAAAACTCTGCTGTAACCCTGTCGTGACCCTTGTTCACGTACTTGAACAGGTACTTGATTGAACGGGACTGATTGCACCATTCAACATTAATATGAGCCCTATGCTTTAACAACAAATGCCTATTGTGTGGTACAACGTACCTATTATCCAAGTTAATCCCATTGCGCGTCACGGAACGACCATTGTCTCTTCTCCGATATATAGGATAACCATCCTCATCAAAAGTTGTGCAATTAACAAACTTTTTGGGGAAATGTTTAGTACATTTACCATTCGCCATACATGGAGAAGTCAACCTGGCTTTCCCGCAAGGTCCATGCATCATAAACTCCTCAACAACTTTGTAGTATTCTGCGTCAGCTTCTTGATCAGGTAACTCAGCTGAAATAATGTGGTCCAATTTTTCTACAGAATGGGTTCCATTGATTTTATCCAGAAACAGGAGAATATGAGCATGCGGTAATCCTCTTTTTTGGAACTCTATGGTATATATCACTGTTAACAAATAAGAAGAAATAATAAATTAGAATAGAGCAAATAATAGGTACAGTGAATTTTCTCGTACATCTTGAAATAGCGGCATTTAATTAACGTACCTCCCATTACTGGTCCAAATAACTTGTTCTTCCTACAGTCTGAGATTAGAGCATCCAATTTCATTTTGAATAATCTACATATGATGTCAGGACGATCTTCAGGTTTTAACTTTCTATCATTCAAAAAGCGTTGTACCTCAGGCCACTTGGGGTTGCATGTGAATGTGATAAACAGATCAGGATATCCGACCAATCTACATATCGCCATGGCGTCCTGGTAATTTTGAATCATGTATCTAGCACCCCCTGTAAAACTCGAAGGCAATATTATTCTCTTTCCTTGAGTAGTGGGGTCAACTTCATCGCGTGTTAATGCATCATTCAAGCAATTATACGATTCGCACCTCAAACTTTTTTGGTGTGTCCTTATATAGATTAACCTTCCTGACTCCACCATTGTATAGGCATCTACCAGAAATTGTTGGAATAACCTCTTTGAATGCAATAAAGTAGATACCTCAGAGACCCTCGACATTATACGGTATGCAAAATATTCTCGAGGACTTATCCTTTGACGACCAGTTGTGTTTCCTTTTAATGTAGAGAAGGGGATGTCTTCCCTGTATCCGTCCTCACCATACGGAAACAACAGAGGGTATTGCATCGGCAAGTAAGCTGGATTTAATTCACTAATTCTTTGCAAGAGGCCACTTTTCGTCTCCACCATAATGTCCCGTTCTCCAATATTTGTATCAATATCACCGACAATTAATGCTGCCACTTCAGAAACTTGCGGGAAATTGTATGTTCTGGCATCCTTTGATCTCTTCCCAAGCAATTTAATTTTGACCTCAGCAAGTGGATTCTTTTGTAGCTCAGATCGTGCCATGCGGAATGATTTGACCAAGACATTACATGTATCCAACACTTGTTGAATATCATTAACAATCTCTACATGGATTCCGTTTTGCTCACCATCTGGCCTAGAAAGAGACAAAAAAATCATATGAATTATGCACATATAATATGAATGGATGTGCGGTATAATATGATTGTAAGTATACATATAATTAATTAACAGGTACGTACCTTACAGAATTGATACGATTACTAAGTTCATTATTAGTATCATATATATACAACTGGGCAAAATGGGGTTTTTTCCCGTCGACCGGCAAGAGACTACCAATGTAGTGAAAGTTTTGGCCATTTATCCTGAAAACTGGTGGACCACCGTTCTTGTTCACGCTTCTATCTATTTTACCACCCATGGACGTGAAGCAAAACATACTATTGTATGTTCTAATGTTTTGCAGGAATTGCTTGCTTTTTTCTCCTTCTCCAAAAAATAGATTGTAAATTGCATCTGGTGGCCTCAGGTTTGGTGGCAATTTAATCTTACCGTTGTTGCAACACATTGAATATCTTGGGGTGCCATGAATAACTGTTTTGTTTATCCTTTCTTCGTGCCAAAAAAGCGCTCCACAATGTTTGACACGTGTTATTTGCATCACCAAGATCTTTGTATTCAACTACATTGATAATTAAATATTATTTAGGTCAATTATATAAGATGACCTTAAACATTTCATATTATGCATACACGTATTGAACTGATTATTATCAAAAAGGTGAATGCGATTGGTTTCTACACTAAACATAATAACGTACACCTAAAATAATTTTGAATTTACGTAAGATTATAAATAATAAAGGAATTACCATTTGGAATATGTTGTATAGGTTGTTGCGGAATTTCGACCAATCCTACGATACAGTAATACATTTGATTTAAACAACTAAATACATAAACTTTAACATTTTTTTTGTAAAGTAACTTCGCAAATGTTAGTGTATGTTGAACTTACCACAAGTGTCTTCCATTTGTTCTAAAATGCGATTAGTATTGCAAACTTCTTCAAAATCTTGAAACAAATCGCGGTTGACCACATTATGTTGGCTATGGTCTTTACCCTCATTCATGCATGGACTCTTGTTGCATTGTCTGGTAGCGACTTTATTTTAAGTAGAAAAAAAAAAAGTTCAATACATAAAAATAACTACTTAAGCAAAGTTAAAAATAGATCTAACAATACTTACGGTTTGATATATTTTGTAGAGGTGATCGTGTGCTGTTCGACATAGTTATTGTACCCTCTGCAACAAATGAAAAGTTTTTGTGTCTGTCATTGATGATATCCGAGTTCTGATATGAAATAAAGAATATTAAGTATATGCCTTAATATAACTAACCGGGAAGTGTAGAGCTTGTTGTACAGGATAAATAGGGAGTTCTGCCGCCTAATACAAAATGTCTGGAGTTACTTTTGCTTGTCGTATATTCCATGAGGCATGTACTCATATTTATATTTATACTCTCTGGATTCACTGCAGGTTTCCAAAAATGTTAAAAAAATAATAATAAATTCTAAATAGTGTATTAGACCTAAGTAAATGCCAAACGGTATTACATTTGAAAAGTGCAGAGCGTTTACCTGTTGTTAGACCACTTTTTGGTGTATCACTTGAAGTACCCACTTGTAGTGGTGTGCATTCCGTATGTAACTTTGAGCTATTTTTTTTCAAAATAGCGTTGTGAGTACTTGTAACCAGAGAATTTTCAACATTTTCTGCAATTAAAAGGTGCAAATATTCATAGATAAGTACCTTTACTTTTAAACATAACGATATGATTATCTAAATAATTCCAAATAAAATACATTTGTAATATACTAATTTCTGGAAATTGAGCTACGTAAGTTATATATTTTGAAAGTGACTTTTTAATCTACCTAGTGTACATAATTGTATATAATGTACCATAAGTCTAAAAAATTACAACTTAAGTACAGAAATAAATTACATTTAAATATACTTTGAGTATATTAAAAATGTAGATGATGGACCAATTGTTCACCCAATATTGTGGACCATTATCCACAACCTAGATTTGACCAATAATTCTATAATTTAAAAATCAAAGCAAAATTTACCTACTAATTATATCCAATATAATGTTAGAATACTGTCATTTGCATTTAGGGGTCTTCTAGATGGATCTGCCATTTCTTGATCCATTCTCTTCCACACTCTCGTACAGCTAGCATCCTCTCACATCTACCTAACCTTATCTCTCTATCTGTTCAGACAAAAAACCCCATCTCCGACAGTAGAACTCGTCATCTGCCATTACAGTGTTGATATCTTCTTTAATTCGTAGAAGATCTCAACCCCTAAACCGATTGCAGTAAGATCCGATTAGGGTTCATTTGTGAAAACCACACTGAGATCGGTTTAGTTGTTGTTCGAGGATCTCAACTATTAATCTCCGATCTTGGTTTTTAGAATCGGATCGGCATTTTTAAGGTTCTAACGTCAAGCTTCGTATCTCAATCTTCAATTACTATCCTATTCGACTACATCAGATGTAAGGTAAGCAAGTCTTATACCCTATCGTAGTTTGTATTTGCTTATAGATTAAGTCTTACCGTCTAATTGTAGATCAAATTTAAACTTTTTTTTTTGTTTCCTAATTCTAGATCAAGCAGATCAGAAAATGGGTCCGTACGGTGTTCATGACTTAGATGCAGATTAAAGGACTGAAATGCAAGATAAGTTTAACAGTACAAATTTGTTTGTCTAAATTCTTATCTTAGAATATTTAACATATTCTAGATCTTTAATTTATTTTTGTATTATTGTCTATATACCTAACATCAGACATTATTGGCTTCTGAGTATTCCTAGGATATTATACACTAACCAAATGATACCTAATTTAATTGCAGAGGTGTAGTTGTTAGATCTATATCTACACATTCAAAGGTGGGAAGGTAAGGAGGCATCAACGGAGTTCAATAGGTGTAAATTTGTGCAATGAACAAAAAATTCTTAGGTAAAGTATAAATTTTCAGTTTCAAGCAGTGTTTATGGTACCTTGATTGTCGAATGTTTGCTTCCTTTTGCTTCCTATTATTGTAGAAGCAACTATTTTCCTCATATCTGAGCTGTTATTGTGTATGTTCCTGTGTTTTGTTGTGATTTTATTTGTATTAGAAATAGTTGTATTCAAATAGGTTAAGCTTTTATTGGGTTTTTAGCATTTAAGAGTGTAGTGTAATAGAAATGATGAAAAGCAATGATATGACTCTTCATTTTTTATTGGAAAACAACAAAGCCAATTAGTTTTTATGATATTGAATACACATGTTCCCACTTTCTTTTAATTATTTAGTTTATGATGTACACAGTTTTGTTTTCTGATGACTGGTTAAGTATGCTGTACATTATCTATGCTATAAATTATTATATAGTCTGTAAACAGGTTTTCTGTTTACACTTTTTCTTTTCTTTTCAATGTTCCAGGTTATCCTCATAAATTCATCATTTTAGTTGTGGTTTTGGAATAGATATTGTGACTAACATTTTTTCTAAGCTTTGGCAAATGATGAAGTTACAGTTCTGATGCCCTAACTGTAAACAGCAACTTAGTGGATTGCAGAGAATTAATTTTACATGTCTATTTCCCTTTTTGGTTGATAAGCCTTAATTATTATTCATATAAATAGTTCTTGTGTTTTTAATATTTAGTACATCCAATTTATCTTCCAAAGGTTATCTGATATGTACTGTGATGTCCAAGGTGTTAGGCCTAAAATGTCAAAGTTTATCTCATATGGACTGTGATGATCCAGTTCCAAAGCAGTCTGACTTTGTAACAGTTTTAAATTATATTTACTTCAATGGATTGCAGTTTACCAAATGTTTTTACTCATTTATCCTAAATATATTCTATTTAGTATACTTTGAATAGAATAAAACTGAATAGAAAGAATATACTGTTCATATTCTATCTAAACTAATTGAGAATGTAAATGAAATTGTAACTAATTAAAGGTTGTTTTGATTGGTGGTTTAGGATTTAATTGAGTTATTTATACACTTTTCTTCTTTAGAAATTTGACCAATGTAATAGTTATGTTAAAAAAAAAAACACAAATAGACATTACTTTGAATTGTTTATTTTGTATTCACATTTTATCACAATTAGTCTGAATTGTACTGTTATGAGTCCTATGTACTGTTATGTAGTGTTAACATTAGGTGTGATATGTACTTTTCCTCATGTCAACAGTGTTAGTCCCAGATTGTGTACTTTGATCTCAGATAGACATGATCATACATCTTGTAATTTGAAAACAACAGTTTTATTTTGTAATGAGGAAGTTCCCTGCAGTGTTACTCCTCTATTTCAAATTTACCTGTGTATGAGTTTTTAATTGACATTTCTAGGCTTGATTTGGGTTCGGTATACATTCGACTTCTTAAAATGTAATTTCATTTGAAACTGACCAAGTGAATTTATGCTGAGTTTTTTTTTTTTTTTTACTCTTTAAATAATGTTTAATTAAAGATATACGAATGATAAGTGTATTGTGTTTGTTCTTTGTTTTTTGATGCATAAAAACACCAATGATATACAGAAACTTAATAAATAAAGTCAAAAGTGTGAGCAGTTTCTTTTATTTAAAACTTAATTTCAAACTGCTTAAACTTAAAAGTGTGAGCAGTTTCTTTTTAATTATAGTTTGCTAATGATGATATTTAGAGTGTGTGAGTTAATTATTTTAAAAGAGTACGATGTTTCCAATGTAAATATACAGTTTTATTACATTATATAAAGTAGCATTTTAAACTCACACAGTTATGAAAATTTGATTACATTTGAATCTGACCAAGTGAACTTATTTTTTTTTTTTTACTGTAGAAAAAACCATTATTTAAATCACCAATGTTTGTCTGTATAAATAACCATTTTGATTGTATATATCTTTTTTTTGTTGTATCATACTGATCAAAGACTAAGTTGTACATTTTTTTGATGATAGTTTGCTAATGCTCTACATTTAAAGTGTGTGAGTTGTAAAGTACCAGAACAGTCTGTTACCATTGTAAATAATAAGTTTGATTACATTTGATAGAGTCCAATTAAAAATTCAGACTTAATAATTGATAGAGTACAGTTTTCAAAATAGCAGATTGCTACAGCTTAGTAATTGAAAACCATTGTGTGTTACACTGGTTGAATGTGTTTGCTTCCTTAACTACCATATACTTGTGCTTGATTCCTTGTGATTGATTCCTTGTGTTTGATTCCTTGTGGTTGCTTCCCTGTGGTTGCTTCCCTGTGGTTGCTTCTTTCTTGTCTTGCATTCAGATTCATATATCTAACAGTATATGTAATAAACAGAGTGTAATGAATGTTTACCAAAAATCATAGGTAAAAAACAAAGGTAAATAGTCTAATCATAGATTAAAATAACATGAAATTGTTCAGGACAAACACAGTCCAATTTAACATGGCAAATGATCATTTTAAAAATATATAAAAAAAAAAAAAAAAAAAACCACAATAATGTGGTAATAGTTTGTAGTATCCCAGAACAGCTCAGATTTTTTCTTGTTTAACCACCACAGTTTTTCCCTTCTTGCTAGAGGATGAAAACTGGTCCATAAGCGATCGCTTCACACCATCCGCCTGTGAATGATCATTGTCTAGGCTTTGAGACTGATGTAGATTTAATGGACTGTTGACCTCATTGTCTCCATTTGAAGCTTCCTGCATATTAAAATAAAGTTTAGTCTAAAACCTGTCAACCATAAGATTAAAACTGTACAACTTTATTTGACTTTAGTAATAATCAAAACCTGATCCGAGTCCTCCTCTTCCTCCTCGTCCTCATCTAACATTTTTGATATCAAGTCCTTGTCTTGGTCTTCAATCAGTTTAGAACAGTATGCTGACACTAAGGCTTCATCCCTTAGAACTTTCATAACAGTGTAGGCTGAATTAGCTCCCTTCATGAACTCCATTTTTAATGATATCCTAAATACCATTCTCATACCCACTAATGTTTCCAATTCTTTTGGAATGTCAGAAACCTAACAAAAAAAAATAACATACATTCTAATAAGAAATATCATCTCAGACTCTGTATGTACGTGTTTAATTTAGAAGAAATTTAATTTTACCTTATTATACTTTGTGTACAAACTGTGTGCTGGGATACCAACTAATTCAGAACACTCCCTATCCCATAATAGGAAGGGAGCATCATCTAGACCTTTATCTAGAACAATAACTCTGACCCGATACCTTGCCATTCCTTCTTTATATTTCTTATCACAATTGGTACAAATCAGTTCACCGGATTCGTCAGAAAGTTTTCTGTTACATCCCGGTGACATGCAAGAAATGTACATCCATCCAAAAGAACATTCAATTGCAACAACAGTTTGTAAGTGGATATATACACTTTATATCCACTTAATTACATTTTATACAAATACTCCATTTTTGGACATTCTAAACTCACAAATACTTCAAAAAATAATTCATCTATAGCTTCTTCATGACCTGCAATTATCCAATACAACTTTTTGTAAAATATAAAAATGAAATGAGCAGAATAAATAGTTGCATCAATGCTCAATATATGCCATCATTGCCATTGTATATTTAATTTTTCACTTTAGATCATATACTATTCAAATACTTTAATTTGTATTTTTTTACACTTTAAATTCAATGGATGGGTTTTGGATTGAAATGCAGATTGTGAGAATTACATATTTGATGGCTGCCTTGTTCATACTTTTTTTTACAATCATGGAGATTTGAAGGCAGCCCCAAAATCATTAAATCACACAGCATGGATATTACCTGAAACACATCACACAGCAGACCTATTAGTAAGGGACGAAATATCCTCATCATTAAGCACCATGGCTTTTGTAAGTGTATACCTTTCCCATCTCCTTGTGCATCTGCTCCTTCATCTCCTCAGTATCATCCTCCACAGAAACCAATAGTCTAATATTGGAAATTAGATAAAGAAATAGAAAAGAAACCAAACATGAATATATAGTAGTAATTGAACAAAAAAAAAAAAAAAAAAAAAAAAAAAAAAAAAAAAAAAAAAAAAAAAAAAACTGAATAATTAGTAGATAATATAGGTGAGAATAGAAATGTTTCCAGAAAATTATGCTTCCAATTTTGTCAGTCCACATGCATAATCCAGTAAAAATCTCAATACAATTGTCAAAAAAAAAAAAAAAAAAGATGTGCAGGTGTTCTCATCGTAATCTTCAAGCAACTGTGTTTTATCAATACTGAGATGGCAGGTAGCAGGTGTTCTCACTGTAATCTTCAAGCAACTGTGTTTAATCAATACTGAGATGACATAGTATCTTTGCCCAGATTTTTGGTTCTTTGTTTGCGTCTTTTCAGGTGGTTCAAACTGGAGAGATATATAGAGGCTGAAATTTGTTTTTCAATTTTGAATATTGTCTTGGAACTATGAATGCTGCTTGAAACGTTTCGAGACCCAAGATTACATTCAATAGATTATTTTTTCAAAGCATTTTCTCGTATATAGATGTGTAATAGCCGTAGATATATATATCTGTATCTTTATATACGTAAATAAATGTAGATTATAGGTTAGCTTCTCAATGTAATTAGAACTCTTTGACTATTAGAAGTCTTTATTTACATCGGTAATAGACTATTAGCCATAATTAATTCGACTATTGAGTTATCTTATTAAAACGACGCCGGTTGGTGTGGGCGGGAAAATGTTTTAGGCCAAAAGTTACTGCTTTATTATAATGATAGACTAGTAGTTGCACCCGTGCGATGCACGGCCATGTTATTATGGTGAAATATATTAAAAATTGTTTTATTCATGATATATGGTCAATAAGGTTATAGACGTCACAAATACACAAAATATAATATTTTATTGATAAATAAATAAAACAATTACAAATTATTAAAGATTTCTTTATATACTACATTTTGAGTCTTGTTTAGAAGACCTCTAGATTCCCCACAAATTAAGACCTTAAGACCATCTGGATTACTGACCCGAGAGACTGCAACATATAATTGGCCATGATTAAAAACAGGTTTTTTCAATAACAAACCAACATGTGAAAGCGTCTGACCTTGACTTTTGTTGATTGTCATTGCATATGATAACATAAGAGGGAACTGCTTTCTTTGAAACTTGAATGGAAGTCTTGGGTCTGAAGGAGTCAAAGATAGCCTTGGTATCAAAACCTTTGTACCTGCGTTATTGCCAGCTATGATTTTCCCCTCAATAACATGATTTCCCAATTGTGTTACTATTAACCTTGTACCATTGCACAATCCCATTGCGTGATCTATATTTCTCAACAGCATAACTGGAGTTCCAATTTTCAGCGTCAAAGAGTGGTTTGGTACACCTGAGCACCTCAAGCTATTTAAAAATTATGTTGTGTGTACCTGAGATTGCATATCAAAGTTTGCCTCAGCCTTGCAAACAGAATCACAACTCAAATATGTTCTTGATGCAGCTTCATTAATACCATTCATGTATTCATTGACCTCGTCAACAACATCTAATGTTGGAGCTAATATAGCTCTATTCTCTAATTGTCTTTCATCTATGTTCCCAGAACGGTATTCAGGGAATGTGCTTTCAACAATTTGTCTGATAGGATCAACCTCATTTTCTAATACAATTGAAGACGGTATTATTATATTGCAATCAACATCGTTGTCTTCACCAAGATTACCATCACCTAAATCCGCAATCCACTTGGAAAAACGATCTAACTTCTCAACATCGTTTTCATTAGTAACACCCCGCAATCTTAAATTCTTTGTTAGACGAAGAACTTCACAATTATTCCACAAGTAAGATGAATTAATGCTGGCTTGTATTATATCTTGCCTAGTACCTTTCAGAATAACGGGTAGAATTTGTCTAAAGTCTCCACCCAACACCACTGTTTTCCCTCCAAATGTCATTGTTGAGCTCCTTGAATTCTTGAAACGCATTAAATCTCTCATTGTTCGATCCAATGCTTCAAAGCAATGTTTGTGCATCATCGGAGCTTCATCCCAAATTATTAATTTGGATTTGATTATCAATTCAGCAAGTGGACTGCCTTGCTTGATGTTGCAAGTGGAATCTTCATTAACACCAATAGGTATAGCAAACCTGGAGTGTGCAGTCCTACCTCCAGGTAGCAGCAACGAAGCTATACCGCTTGATGCTATGTTTAGAACGACCTCGCCTTTGGACCGTAAAGCTGCTGAAATTGTCTTCCACAAAAATGTTTTTCCTGTTCCACCGTAACCATAAACGAAATACATTCCACCTCGCTCAGTTTCAACATCTCCCATCGCCTTATTGTATATGAGTAGCTGTTCATCAGTTAGTTTCGGATGCAACGAATTATGTTGATGCATTAGAGCTTCCCTATCATATGACATCTCCTCTAACAACAACCTGTTACCACAAAACCAATCATTGTATCCATCTAGCATTGGCATAGGTGGGTAATCTGATAGAGATTTGTTCCAAGCATTCAACAATTTCTCTATTTCAAGCAACGCAAAATTCTTTTTTTGAGATTCATTCATACTTAAATCTACAAAATAAATCAAAAAATGTAAGATGTAATGGTTTTAAAAACGGATATGAATAATAATATTAAAATAAATGTTACCTGAGACTGAGAGGTTCCTTCTAGAAATATATCCAGCATCATCTGATAAGTATTGCCAAACCATCTCCCAAACATTTTCTGGTTTGGACATCGAACTGGATGTCAAAAGGGTAACAAACAACTTTCGTAGTGAACTTGTTGCTGCCTCAGTGATTGCATCAACATACTCTTTATCATCTTCGATTAATCCGCGGGCATAACACGCATCTCTAAATGAATTGTATTGAACACCATCGACCTTTTTAATCTCATCAAATGAAGTCGGTCCACGAACTATATTAAGTAAACACCTAAGATAAAAGATCTCACCAGTATTTGGTGGCACATAAAAGATTCGCCCAATTGCCCAATTTCTTTGCCTAGGTTGCCATTCTCTTTTATCATTCTTCCAAACAAATTTGGTTGGCATCTGTGAATAAGTCAACTGCCTCCCTGCTGCGTACTTTTTATTAGCCTCAAACCAGGCAGTAAACATGCTTTGAGCTACTGTTGGTCGATTTACAACATCATTGACCAAATCGTCGTCATGAAATATTATTGATTGCTCATTGGGAAGATGGAAACTCAATCGCTCAACAGATGGATTCCTAAATTGTATGTCAAAACCAAAAATCCTCCACGCAGCCTCAGGGGGTGAAATATATCTACAGTCATAGTACATCTTGATTTCATCTACAATTTTTCCAGTAGATTCTTCAACCCCACTGTTGTAGAATTCAGCTGTGACCCTATTATTACCTTTGTTGACGTACTTGAATAAGTACTTTATTGATCTAGATTGGTTGCACCACTCCACATTAATATGAGCCTTGTACTTCATAAGCAAATGTCTATTGTGTGGAACAACATATCTACTATCAAGGTCAATCCCATTCTTCCGTATTGTACGACCATTATCTCGACGCCGATAGATTGGATATCCATCGAAATCCACTATTGAGTTTTCAACAATTTTTTTGGGGAAGAATTTAGAGCACATACCATTTATCATGCAAGGTGAGTTCTTCCTCGCTGCACCACATGGACCGTGAATCATAAATTCTTCTACAGCTTTATAATACTCAGGGTCGCACAATTGACTTGGAATCTCAGCAGATATGATCATGTCAATATCTTTAGGATTAGGGTAAGAGCTACTCTTGCTCAAGAATATCAAAATGTGAGCATGTGGCAATCCCCTTTTCTGAAATTCAATGGTGTAAATTACTGCAAATACAAAGATGGTGAAATTAGACCCCTTAAAAATTGTCAATTATTTTAAGTATACGTAACAATGAAATATATTCGGTAATATTTATAAAATCACATAAATTACCTGCATCCACAAGTCCAAAAATCTTCTCCTTCTTAATGTCTTTTATGAGTGCATTTAATTTCATTTTAAACACACGGCATACTATATCTGGCCTATCTTCAGGTTTGAGTTTCCTTGGTTGTAAAAATCTTTCAATCTCAGGCCACTTAGGATTACACGTGAATGTAATAAATAGACTTGGATACCCGATCCATCTACAAATCGTCATTGCATCTTGGTAATTTTGCACCATATATCTTGCACCTCCGGTAAAACTCGACGGCAAAATAATCTTCTCCTTCTTAATGTCTTTTATGAGTGCATTTAATTTCATTTTAAACACACGGCATACTATATCTGGCCTATCTTCAGGTTTGAGTTTCCTTGGTTGTAAAAATCTTTCAATCTCAGGCCACTTAGGATTACACGTGAATGTAATAAATAGACTTGGATACCAGATCCATCTACAAATCGTCATTGCATCTTGGTAATTTTACACCATATATCTTGCACCTCCGGTAAAACTCGACGGCAAAATAATCTTCTCCTTCTTAATGTCTTTTATGAGTGCATTTAATTTCATTTTAAACACACGGCATACTATATCTGGCCTATCTTCAGGTTTGAGTTTCCTTGGTTGTAAAAATCTTTCAATCTCAGGCCACTTAGGATTACACGTGAATGTAATAAATAGACTTGGATACCAGATCCATCTACAAATCGTCATTGCATCTTGGTAATTTTGCACCATATATCTTGCACCTCCGGTAAAACTCGATGGCAAAATAATGCGCTTTCCTTGGGAAGTAGGATCTACCTCACCACGTGTTAACGCATCTGTCAAACATTTGTATGATTCACACCGAAGTGACTTTTGATGAGACCTAATATAAACCAAGCGTCCTGATTCTATCATGGTATAAGCATCAACCAAATATTGTTGAAACAACCGTCTAGCATATAGCAATGTTGACATTTCATTGAACCTATATTGCAAACGGAATGAAAAATACTCTCTTGGGCTAAGTTTACTCCTTGCATTTGAACTCCGGCCTTCGACAGTAGTAAACTGTATATCGTCTCTGTATCCGTCCTCACCATAAGGAAATAGTAGTGGGTACTGCAGTTCGAGATATGCTGGATTTAATTCAGTGATTCTTTGAAAATGACCAGCTTTAGACTCCACCAATATATCTCTTTCTCCTATGTTTGGATCTAAATCACCAACAATCAATGCCGCCACCTCCCCAACCTGTGGCAAGTTATATGTCCTTGCATCCTTGCTCCTTTTACCAATGAGTTTGATTTTAATATCAGCTCTATGATTACTTTCCATCTCTGTTTTCGCCATTCGAAAACTCTTGACCAAAACATTATTTTCATCCAGTGCATCCTTGATGTCTTTCACAATTTCACGATGCATTGTATTCGTTGACTCATCTCCCCTGTTTGAACGAGACAAACCCATACAATTTCATAATCTATTTTATATAAAAAATGATGTTCATTTATTTAAATTAAAGAAGCGTACATAACTTACCCAAGTACAGTTAGACGATTTTCTATCTCATTTTGAGTATCGTAAATATACAATTGAGCAAACTTTGGTCTTTCACCAGATTGTGGTAGTAAACTACCCATTAAGTGAAAGTTTTGACCATGTAACCTAAAAGTCGGCGGTGCACTACCATTGTTGACAGTCCTGTCAATTTTTCCACCCATGGAAGTAAAGCAAAACATATTGTTGAAGGACCGAATGTTCTTCAAGAAATGGGTACTCTTTTGATCCTGGTTAAAGAACAACTGCCTGATTGCCATAGGTGGAATATTAGGATGCGGCAACTTTATCTTTCCATGACTGCAACATAGTGAATATTTCGGATTTCGAACACCGCTAGATTTATTAACTCGCTCCTCTAACCAAAACATAGCTCCACAGTGATCGCACGAGTACGTTTGATCACCAAGATCACTGTAATAATCTAAAAAAAAAAACAAATGTTATTACTATGGTAAAATAATAAAGGTTATTAATCGTACCTATACTCACCATTAACATTTGTAGAGTTTGATGGTGTATCCTGGACCACACTATTAAAAGCTGACATCAAACCACGTTGCATTGAAACCTTTGGTGATGAGGTATTGTAATCCACAACGCACGATCTTGTTGTTTGAACTATAAGATGAAAACAAACGTTATTATTCATAAAGCAATTTATATAAATTCACTTTTTTAAAAAGAATTAACTTCATCTAGGGATGTTACCATTTGTTAGAATATGCAAAGGCCCTCGACTTTCATTGGACACCATAGGGGTACTTTCGAGCACGTTAGATTGCGATGTCATTGATTGAGTAATATTTTGTAAAACTATTAAAAAAAAATTTGTTTTAAATCTCAAATTAAAATTCCAAATATAGTATAGTAAATGCTTAAAGATATATAATTTATTGTAGAAAATTGTTTAGAAAGACCTCCAATTTGTCCATTGGCAAAACGCTTTTTAGTTTGAGATGTTGAATTAACACATGTAAGCTGAGATCTATCACTTGCCGTTTGTATTGCAACTGAACACTCTAAACAACAAAATTACAAAAAGCACACATTAATATATATAATATAAATAATTAAAATAAAAGGTACTATACCATAGTACCGACATTGCATTTAAAATGAAAGGACTAACCATCGATCAAAGTTACTTTCGGTGTGTTGAATGTTGCATTTTCTGTCCAATAAGACAATAAATTAAAGAATTACTAATAAAGCAATCAAGACAATTACATGTGTTACATTAAATAAACTAAATTACCGCAAAAATAAAAGGGCTATATATGTAACATCCCTAATTCAAATACTCTAAACACAACACGTAACGTTTTCATGACAAATCTAAATATCGTCCTATATAAATAAGCATATCCTCTAATATAAGCATATTAACCATATTTAACAATAAAACATATCAAGAAAATTGAAAAAACTTACAAATTTGTATAGATATATAACGTCTCATACCATTGTATACGTTGAAAGATTGTTTTGAAAGACATCCACACTGTGTCCCAGTAAGACGGCTCCAATTTTGAGGTGTTGCATTAACACATGTAAGCTGAAATCTACCACTTGACAATTCTACTGCAATTGAACACTCTAAACAAAAAAAATTACAAAATGCTAACATTAATATAGGAAGATAATATAAATACTTTAAATTAAATGTACTATATCATAGCACCGACATTGCAATTAGAAAGAAAGTAATTACCACCAATCGCAATTCGTTTCGGCGTGTTGAATGTTCCAATTTCCGTACCATCATTTTCTGTCATAAAAACAATAAAGATATTATAACCAATAAAATACATAAGTACTAATATAATTATAGATGTAGATATAGTTAATCCAATGATTACATAAAATATATTATTTATAAACTATTTTACTTAACAAAAATTAAAATATATATGTTTATTTAACAAAATTGATTTAACAAAAATTATAATTTAACAAAAATTACAATTAAATACTATCTTTTAAATACAATAAACACCATACATAAGATTGATTTAACAAAAATGAACATCGTACTATATAAAGAAGCATATATACATAATAAGCATATTAAACTAATATATTCCACTACCTACATAGAATTTAACCATAAATAAGAATTATATATATATATATATATATATATATATATATATATATATATATATATACCAATAAGAAAAATAAAAAGGATCGAAGTGTCCAGAAGTCTCACTTCTGGACACCATCCGATCATCACTCCCACTGTCTACGCATCGTCTTCTCTCTACGATGTCATCAGTCTGTCTATCTCTCGCTATCTCTCTCTATCTATCTATGTAATCCAGATGTTTTAGACGTTAATGGCGTCTGAATTTGGAATCGCCCTTATAAACGAAACTCGTTCTTGATTAGATCGCAGCCTATACTGTGATTGGCTTCGAGAGAGAGATAGAAGAGGGCGAAACCCTAGATCTACTGAGATGCTTGGTTGTTTCTACGGATGCAACCTAGATTAACCTAGATCTGTATTACATAGCTATGGATGTACGCAGCAGGGCTATTTTACAATCGCGTCAACATTCTTAGTAGGGTTTCTTTTCATGGAGCTAAACAATCGGATGAAGGTAAGTATTTTTTGTACTCAATCTTACTGAATCTTTACTATTTTTGCCCAAAAAATCTAGATGTAAATCGATTTTCAATTCGAATTATGTATGCTAAACTGTATGTTTGTATAGTTAGGGTTTTAACCTAAGTAATTTAGCAACTTAGTGTTATCTGTTGAACTTGATTGTTATTAATTTGCAGTTTCTAATGTTTAGCTTTCCTATAATTACCAATAAACATGAATTTTTAACTTACCCCTACTATATTGTTATCCTTGTTCGACAGATTTGAAATCAGCACTTTAAATTCATACAGATTTGAGATAAGGTTATACAGTTTGTAATTGCAAGATAAAAAAAGTTCAATATGAATAGGAGAATAAAATCTTTTCATGATTCAGAAACTGTGACAGTAATAGACGTTTTGATGAATGTTGATCAGTAGTGTACCTTTATTTGAAATTGTATCCTTCCTTTTGGAGCCGATGACAGTTGATTTAGTTAACTTCCTCATTGATTTGAACTGCTTAATGTTTGGTAAGTGTTTTTCTGACAGTAGTGAGTTTAGTTGAAAATGAATTGTGTACTCTGCATTTAAATGTGAATATCTGAGTGTATGTGAGGGTAAAACATTAAAGAAAAATAAAATTCCCTAGAATTTTGCTGTTCCTTTATTAATGATTACTTCTATTGGGAAGCAGAAAAGACACATATTGAAAAGATAGGATTTATTCCCAGCATTAATCCTGCCCTATGTTGAAATTAAGTTTTGATTTCAATAATCACCTAATTAGTATATGTGTATTTTGTTTTACAATTTTAGATCCAATCCTCTTTTTGAATCTCAGTTTATTTGATTTATTATTTTCTGTTTTTGAATAGACTTCAATTCTGTTTGAATTCTCAGATTACTCAGATTATAACATTTGTTTTCAAGGAAATGACACATGATGATATGAATTTCTGATGCCATTAGATTTCAGAGTTTCCATTACCATTAAGTGTACTATTAAACCTTTTGGAGAGGAAAAAATTTCACTACTGGAGAACCACTTTAGTTGATATCTTGAATTTCACTACTGCCAAATACCACAAATGAAGGCGTTATGGTGTACACACTTACCGGGCTATCCGAGCGGTAAAGATTTCACAAGCTTGACAACAATTTCCATTAGTAGTTTACAATCTGTTTATCTAACATCTGTAATTTATAAACTATCTGTCGCTTTGAATCAAATAAAGGGTGCAACCTGTGTAATCTGAGAACAGATCATTTTTAGTCCCTAAATCATTAGAGGAAAACAATTACTGTGTATCTCGTAGTTTTGTTAG